CGCAAGTCGCGGGTACAAGTGTGCGGCCGAGGGGCTCCACCGCAAACATTCTACATTATTTATACATTTGTAAATTGAAACGATTATTGTATAGATAAGGAAATAAAACAGTCCACATTCCGATTTCGGTTTTTTTTAATTTCTCTGTTGACTTCTTCGTGTATCCCAAGCAGAATGAAGACGTATGCGAGTTTACATCCGATGCACATCTGAGGAGGAGCTCTGTGGGGAGCGTCTCCAACTGTGGCGAGAATCACGAACGCCCATCTTACTTTTAATGTGAATGTTAGTCGTTGTCGTTGAAGATATTTCCAAAACTGCCGCTACATGTATCTCGCACAAATTTGGCATAGATTTAGACTATGGTCTGGAAGAACACATAGGCTACTTATCAAATTTTTTTAACTCCGCACAGACGGAGTCCCTGGCGACAGCTAATTGTTGCACACATTCTAATTGAAATATACAAACTACATTAAAACCATTTTATTAAAAGAAATATGTTACAATACTTATATTTTCGCACAATTACATTCGTTCTCTTAATGCTTACTTACTTACTTACGTGTTACACAACTGTTTGTTCACATAATACATCACATATATAATAACTGGATCGAAGAGACGAGGCGAGGCGAGATGCAGACTCGTCGCAGAGTTCGTCGTGCAGCAGGTGCCAGGAGGAGCGGCATCGGCTGCATCTGCATGCACATTTATGTAATACTGCAGAAAGAGTTCCTCCTCGCTCCGACCGGGGCGGGGCTGGAGGCAGGACTGGGGGCGTGTTCATAGTGATCGGTGTTTATCGCTCCTCTAGTCACGATCTTACATTCGCAACCCACGTTCTTGCTATTTTTTTCTGGTTCGCGTGACTCTGCGCGGTCATCGTATTTGCTAAAATTATTTATATACAAGGCACCGTCATCATTCTCATTGTGAGTAAAGAACTCCTCATGTTGACACTTGATATGTGTAAGTGCGGAAGGTCCGCCCTCATGACACTCTTTGACATCGGACAGGCAGTGTTGGGGATGTTGGGGGTCGAGGGGGGCGGCGGGCTAGGGGCGCAGCGCGTGCGCGGCGTGCACGAGGCGCGCGACCAGCGCCCGGTTGGAGGCGAGGCCGGCGGCCAGGTCGTCCTGCGCGGCCAGCAGCGCGCGCACGCCCGCGCCGCCCGCCGACACGCCCTCGCGCTTCTGACATTCTTCTTTTACCTTCTCCTTTTCTTTCTCTTTGTCCACCGTTTCCGTTTTCGAACTCTAATCAAAAATAATAACTAATAAATAACTTAAAACCGAGGATATTACAACTCCTCACATAGCTCGTCGAGAGGAAGAGGAGGTGAGGTGAGGTGAGGTTACCGCGAGGTGTGCACTCCCGAGCGCGGCCTGCGCCTGCGCCTGCTGCTCCGCGTCCTGCAGCCGCGCGCTCAGCGCCGCCAGCCGCAGCTCGGCGCCCGACACGTCCTTGTCCAGGATCTGCGTTTGCAGGAACACCGTCTGCGCCACCTTGTACCTGCGCACACGGCGGTCGTCACCCTGCGGCCCGGGGCGGAGGCCGGGGCCGGGGCAGGGGGGCGGGGCTCACCAGTCGGCGATGGCGTCGGCGCGCGCGCTGGCGAGGGGCGCGGCGCGCTGCAGCAGCGCACGCACTCGGCGCCCGGTCTCCGCCACCGTGATGCGCTCCAGCACGTGGAACTGCTCGTCGTTGTAGGTGAGAGAGCGCGTGGCGCGGTCACGCACCAGGTGCTGCCAGGAGTCGCGCAGTCTGCGGACGACGTGAGACGTTATGCGCACCCGCGCTTCGGGTCGTGCGGTCGCGCCACCCCGGGCCTACCTTTCGACCAGAGTTTTAGCCTTGAGGTGCAACCGGAGTTCCGAGGGGCAGGGCTCGTGCGCCGCGGCCGCGTCCCACTCGGCCCGCAGCGCGTCGGGCGAGTGCCGCGCGCGCAACGCCGCCGCGGAGGCGTGCAGCGCGTCCGCCTCGGCGGCGAGCAGCGCGCCGGTGGCCGCCACGGGCGAGCAGAGCGCGGGCGCGGCCAGGGCGAGCGCGCGCGCCGCCTGCGCGAGGCAGTGCGCGCGCGCGCCCAGCGCCTCGGCGCGCGCGTCGACGCGCTGCAACCGCGAGTCCAGCAAGGCGCCCCAGCGCGACACGCAGCGCGCGCACAGCACGGCGCTGGCGCACAGAGCCTCCACTCGGCGGCGCACCACGTGCCCCACGCTGCACGCCGTCTGCACGGTAAGGGCGGTGATGAGGGTGATGCGAGGGGCGGGGGGCGGCGGTAGCGCAGTACCTTGGCCTGGCTGGCGTCGTTCTCGACGGAGACGATGTTGGGGAAGACGGGGAACTTGGGCACGTCGGGCTCGGGCGCCATGCTCACGTTGTTGTTGTTCTTGTTGAACAGCAGCAGCGGCTCCTCCGCCGTCGTATCCGGGTACTTCCTCCCTACGTATCATTAAACAACAATAATATAAAGAAATCTTACAAAGTCAAAAAAGGTAATTTCTTTAGTAGGATAAACTAGTGACATACATACGTCCATAACATAGGGTGTGTCTTTGAAAATAAGACAACTAAATTGTAAGTTGGGAATTAACAAACAGAAGAAGTAGGTGTTTTGCTAAGGTAAGAAAGAAAGTGTGTTGTATGCACGCGCACCGGGCGTGGCAGCGGCGACCTCGGCCAGCAGCAGCCGCTCCTGGAACAGCAGGATCTGGGCCTCGGGCACGACGCTCGTCTGCTCGCACACGTACGTCTGTAGATGCTCGTATTTCTCCTCCGGCTTCAGGAACACCTACAACACCCCCATACCGCCACCTCTAAGCCAAGTCGCAGTTTGCCCCTTCTTGCAAACAAACAATGAATATGCTATCAATGTACAGTATCCCTGCAAATTATTTTACAATTTATTTGGATATTGAAGTTCATCAGAATTACCATATTTTTGTTTTCATCTTATGATTTGTTTATAGAGAATTTTATCTACAAAAATTTAAAGGAACAAAAACATATTTGGCAACCATTATAATGAACTGTGTTTTTATCCCATAAAGGTTCCTGTCTAAAGTAAGTTGATAAAGTTGCAGGAAACGGCTAGTATTTTGTAACAATGGTAGGTATACTAGAGATATGTTTTTGAGAAATTAACATTTGTGATAATCCAATAGGACATTGTTTTTGTAATAATATGATGATTTACTGATTATATTAACATTAATTGCATCATACAAAAAGCCAAGATAAATGACAAATAATAATCATTTCACATATTTATAGTAATTTCAGGTTGGTCAGTAATATCACTCTAGTGGTCCACATCTCTCATATATGGACTGAAATTGTGTTTATGTTAGATACACAGTCTAGAACCTTCTGATCATTTAGATAATAATTTCAAGTTTAAAATGAAGATGCTTTTGTTTATTTTAATATTGAGAAAAAATAATTAAAAATGGATTTTGTGGGTCAATCCGCAAAATGGACCATATTTATATGGTCTCTTCCATAAATTAGCATGAAACTTACCTTAATGCTGGCAGCTTTATTCACATGAAATATATGAATTGGCTTTGTACTGGTCACTGTTTGAACTTCTGAGAAAAACCTTTCAAAATTCCATATCCTGTGAGGATCCACTTCCAACAAGCCAGCAAGGAGCGGAGTCACCAATTTCCTGAGGCCCACACTCAACTGGCAGTGTGAAGGAAGTTCACGAGACCAGTCTATTGGACCATTATCTGTTGTTTGGGTGCCCTTGAATATTTCAATTTAACATATTATTTTACTACCTTGTCCAAGTTTCATCTTATCTAGTATAACTTACATTTCAAAGTTATATACAATTGTATTTGAAAGACATGCAGCACACACTTCAAATTTTATTATTGCTTATATGAAAGTTGACGAAATTAACTGTAGAATGATATTAGAGAATTGCAATGTTTCATAATAATGAAACTCAGTGTGCAATGTAGTTGTGTGAGATGGTGCTTTAAGCTGGTCCCAGTTTAGGATTTATTTATCTATTTCCAACATGGAAAACTTACAGCTATAATAATCTTATTAACTATAGACTAGACAACTGAGAGCCAATGACAAGTCTTCACTTATAACAATATTATATCTATAATGAGCAAACAAACAAAGATCACAACTATTAAACTATAGTAATATATAACAATGTAGTTAAAAACTAAGTTATAGTAGATACAATAATATTAATCGTAGCAGTTCACATATACATTTTATTTGAAAAAGTCCAGTGCTAGGCACCTTTGTGCCGAGGATACACACAGTGAATGGATCGAAATCATATTTGTTGCAGATTTTGTTAAAATTTCCAATTGCACACACAATAAAACTGTTTTGTCTATAATTAGAAGGTGCTTTGGGTAACAGCAAAGGTGGTATGGAACAAATTGATTTACATGTGACGTTATTGTTAACAAAAACAAGAATACTTACAGAAATAACACCTGAAGCTTTCTTTGTTGTTATAAAGAACATTGTTTCTTTATTTCTTCTTCCTCCATAGGGTCTAAATGGTAATTGACCAGTAGCCACATGGTACAATGTAACTCCTATTGACCACAGATCTACAGTCGCTCCAAAACTCTTGCCTACTGGTTTTCTTAACACCGCCCGCTCATACATATCTGGGTGCAAATACTCCTCTGTCCCATACAAGGATATAAATTGCTCCTCTTCTTGCAGTTCCCTGGCAGCACCAAAATCTGTCAGTTTGTATGTTGTTGTGCCATCTTCATTTATAAATTTCATGATATTGCCGGGTTTTAGGTCTCTATGCACAAGATTGTTGTCACGCAAGTGTTTCATACCAGCCGTTAAATGTTCCAACACTAATAAAAACTCATGTTCTTGCAAGCCATAAGTATTCTCGGGATCGTCCAGGATGTTAAAGAGACTGCCACCGGTGCATAGTTCCATCACGATCACCTTCCCACGTCCCTCCTGCTCCTCCTCGATAGCCAAAAGCTTCACGATGTTTTCGTGCTTCACTTTTTTCAACACTTCAAATTCACGCATTTGCACATCGTGTGGTCTCATGTGGCTGAGTTGATTGAACGTTTTTACAGCCACGGGCTCCCCATTGTTCTTGTTGACTCCTTGAAATACCGCGCCCGTTGCCCCTTTACCCAGAACACTAGTTGTACACCACACATAATTCTCAGAACCACGGAGAAATGACATTTTATATTATAAAAATATTAAATAGTAATTTTCAAAATTGAACCAGCCAAAATTTCATTTCAAGAGTGTTATTAATTAAAGCAGTAACATATAGTTCTATTCGTCGTACTCATATAGTTCTGAATATGAATAGTCAATTTGTTCCATTTAAGTCCTTAACTCGCTACCTGACAACATTTAATACTAAAAAACAGCAAATTAGAAATTTCAAATAGTAAGAGAGGAGAGTTACCATCTGTCAAAGACTGACATTTTTTTTATGACCTGGTAACATAGACCTTTAGGTCATATCTTATTTGGAAAATGTTCGTTCGTTCGAAAGGAAAATCGTTTTGTAAGTAACCAACGTTATTTTATATAGTCTTTGCTTATAACTTTCGATATTTTATATACTCTTTGTTTCGATTCCGAAATTGTGATAGTCATTACAGATAAAGTAAAGACCTTTGGTAGTAGTAGTACTTAGTCTTTGTCTGTGATTTTCAGTGCTTAAAATTTATATATTCTTTGGTCTTAAAGTTCCAAAGTAATGAACATTTTCCAAATAAGATATGACCTAAAGGTCTATGTTACCAGGTCATAAAATTGAAAAAAAATGTTAAAGTTTCCAAATAAGATATGACCCAAAGAGTATATAAAATGACCTAAAGGTCTATGTTACCAGGTCATAAAATTAAAAAAAAAACGTGTCATAAAGTCATGGCGTAGGTATTTTATTTTTCATCTACTTTTTCTGATTTGCCAAGCTCCAGCAAAGTGCTTCAGTGTTTTGTATAGATAATTTGGTTTTGGAGCTGCTGGAGTGTTCAGTGAATGTTTCAAATAAAGTGCATATAAATTGTTTGAAAGCCTAAATATTTTACATTTACAATTTTAATATTAGTTTTGTTTTAAGTGCACCATAGTAAAATGTAAGTTTACACTTCAAATCATGAATATTTTCAATTACTGAAAAGTAAAGTATTTAGTCAGATAAAAACAGTTGCATCTCTTAAGAAATTAATGGCATTTAAATATTAATATTAAAGGATGGGTGAAACCCAAGTACAAAGACAAGTAAGCAGGTTTAGATGTATGAATATGGATAAGGGAAGACTTGTGTGGCAGGGTCGTACCAAATGAAAATCCGTAATCTCTCCCTGGCCGGAAGACCATATAGTAACTACTCCACAAAAATACAATAGTAATAATTGTTACTAGTTATAAATTATAACTAAACCACTTCCCATTCATGCAACATACTTATCTAAAGTTTATTACCATTATCTCAATTATAAAATTTTCTATATTAATGTTTATCAGGTCATCAAAATATAAAGTATGGAAGCCAACCGACAAGGGTCGATCAAATAGTCCATCTCCATCACATAATAAAGAACACCACTTTATTTCACATAAAACTTCAACATCAAATTATCCTGAAAAGACCATCTTCCATAAGGATCTTAGTAGGGATGACAAGAAAAAGGGAGAGTTGTCTTCAAAGAATAAAAAGAACAAAAAGAAGAAGAAGAAAAAATGGAGGTCTAGCAGTAGCAGCAGCAGTGGCAGCAGTGACAGTGACCAGGAGAGAGAAGAGCTGAAGTTGTTGCAGAGACTAGAAGCAGAACGACAAAGGTTGAAAGAAGAAAAACGAAAACAAAAAGAGTTGATGAAGGCAAAAGAGACACCAGAAGAAAAGAGGTATTTTAATTTAATAACTTGATTAAATTGATTTCAGTTTTTAAGTTCCTATTACAGAAGCTCCCGCTGGTAGTATACATTTATTTGAATGCAAAAGCATCTGTGCTCTTTGTAGTCAGAGATGCTCCAAGTGTGTAGATGACACATTACATTACTACAATGTAGCGTAATGTATTGTTCCTGTGCTAAAACAAATTCTGCAGTTAGATGTTAACTGTTTGCAGAGCTCGGCGTCTTAGAGAGAAACAGGAAAAGGAAAGAAAGCGGCGAGAGCGCATGGGCTGGGACACAGAGTACCAATGTTATACAAACCAGGACAATCCCTTCGGAGACTCGGCCCTAACACATACCTTCGTGTGGACCAAGAAGCTCGCCAAAGAGGGTGTTAAAACCGTTTCGAGAGATGAGCTCGAAGCATTGAACAGACAGAAGCAGCTCGAAAATAAAATTGAGTTAGAAAAGGTGAAAAAAAAAATCCAAAATAATTTTGGTAAAACACTTTTTCTTACATAATTTTATAACATCAATTATATTGACATTATCTCATAATGTTTCACAAAATACATAACAAGTGGTAAATAGAGTTTCTGCACAGCACCATACAGTTGTTATGTTATGATATGATGCAGGTGAAGCAGCGGCGGCTGGAGCGCGAGGCGGAGCGCGCGGAGCGCGAGGCGGAGGCGGCGGCGGCGGCGCGCGCGCGCGAGGCCGCGCAGTTCTCCAGCTGGGCGCGCCACGAAGACGCCTTCCATCTGCAGCAGGCGCGGCTGCGCTCGCAGATACGCATCCGCGACGGCCGCGGTACCTGTCTACCCTCACCTGTTACCAACACCACCACCACCACCACCACCAGCCTACCCTACCCTTCTATTTTTTCTAGACAGGAATGCTTTATGCAAACTCCGCGCCCCGGGAGGGACGCGGTAGTTATGTGGGATTCTCCTCCATAATGGAGGCATACCAACTAAACCTCTCTGTTCCTCCAACGCATCGGGACGGGGCCACGGGCACGCTTTCGCTCTCACCCGCGACCTCGTCTGCGTCAGCTGTCTAGGCAGCTCCCTCTCGGACCACCACCCTACCCTGCCCCGCGCCGCCCTGCTAACACGCCCGCGACTGTTGCAGCTAAACCCATCGACCTGCTGGCGTGGTATGTCAGCTCGGAGGAGTGCGTCGACGCGCTGGAGATGCACGAGCCCTATACCTACTTGAACGGGCTGCAGCTGCAGGACCTCGAGGACTTGCTCGAAGATATAAAGGTAAGATTAGATGGCACATTTTACTTTGCAAAGGAAGAGGTAGCGGGAACAATAAGATGTGTGCCGGGGCGCAGGTGTACGAGGAGCTGGAGAGCGGCGGGCACCAGGCGTACTGGCAAGACGTGCGCACCATCGTGCAGGACGAGCTGGGCAAGCTGCGCCGCCTGGCCGCGCCCGACGCGCGCCGCGACGGCGTACACCGCGCTGTGGCCGACGACGTCACGCAGGTCAGATCTACCCCCCGACACCCCCACTCCCACCCCCACCCTAGTCATTACTAACATTTGCCACCTCGGCTCCGCTTCAGATATTCAAGGGCAAGACGGGCGCGCAGCTGGCGGCGCTGCAGACGCAGATCGAGCAGAAGATCAGCGGCCGGCGCGACGGCGTCGACGTCGGCTACTGGGAGAGCTTGCTCAGCCAGCTCAAAGGTTGCCATCGCCATTACTACAACGATTTTGATATTTTTCTGAAAAACCCAACCCTTTTTCGGTGCCGTTTTCGTTGCTTTAATTTCCATCGTAAGTCGACCTCCGATTTGTTCGACCAATGTATATACTACGCTTAAATTTCAATGGCTGTTTAGAGCCACGTACAAATGTTTAAAAAGAATCTGAATGAAATTTGTAACAGAGTTAGATGACATGTTAGGTGATGCGAGGTTCTGTATTTATTTAAATCGGAGGCATTAATCGTTTGTTGTACAGCGCACATGGCGCGCGCCCGACTGCGCGACCGCCACCGCACCAACCTGCGCCGCAAGCTGCAGCTCCTCAAGCGCGAGCAGGGCGTGCAGCCCGCGCCCACCGCCGCGCCCTCCGCCGCGCCCTCCGCCGCGCCCACCGCCGCGCCCTCCGCCGCGCCCACCGCCGCGTCAGTCAACGCAACCATCGCGTATATCATTAATCATTATCTTTTACAAAAAAAAAAGCTTTCAGTTGACTTAAAATGTTATGCAACAGGTCGATGCCGCCGGAGCGGGAGGAGGAGGAGGAGGGGGAGGGGGAGCGGGAAGTGGAGGCGGAGGCGGCAGAGTGGGAGGCGGAGGCGGAGGCGGATGCGGAGGAGCGGGAGGCGGAGTCGGGGCGGGCGGCGTGCGTGGCGCAGTACGAGGCGGGCGGGTACTCGCCGCCGCCGATGTCGCCGCGCGCGCTGGAGCCCGCCACGCTGGTGACGGCGGCCGAGCTCGACCGGCAGCGCCTCGCCTACCTGCGCGCGCGCCTGCACCACGCCGCCAGGCCCGCGCCCGATACACTGGTGCAGGGCGGCGGCGGGCACGCGGCGCTGGAGCGGCTGGCGGAGCGCGCCATGGGCCCGGCGGCGGACGCGGCGCCCTTCGCGGCCGAGGCGGCGCTACCCGAGGCGCCCTGCCTGTGGGCAGACAAGTACCGCCCGCGCAAGCCCAGATACTTCAACAGGTACAAATAGACTAGTTTCACTTTTAATTATTTTGGATGAGGTCGTCCCTAGTGCGCATGCCAGTAGCCGGGGCAGGCGGCGTGCCAGTAGCCGGGGCAGGCGGCGTGCCAGTAGCCGGGGCAGGCGGCGTGCCAGTAGCCGGGGCAGGCGGCGGGGCGCTTTTAATGTTTGTCAAACAAACACACGAGCACACAATATATTATTATTTATGAAATGATGCATGAGCGGAGGGTGTATTGTAACGCGTGCGCTTGCGTGCGGCAGAGTGCACACGGGCTTCGAGTGGAACAAGTACAACCAGACGCACTACGACATGGACAACCCGCCGCCCAAGATCGTGCAGGGCTACAAGTTCAACATCTTCTACCCCGACCTCATCGACAAGAGCGCCACGCCCGAGTTCTCGCTGAAGCCGTGCGCGGACAACCCCGAGTTTGCGGTGCTGCGCTTCCACGCCGGCCCGCCCTACGAGGACATCGCCTTCAAGATCGTCAGCCGCGAGTGGGAGTACTCTTACAAGCGCGGCTTCCGCTGCCACTTCCACAACAACATCTTTCAGCTCTGGTTCCATTTCAAGCGGTACCGCTACCGTCGCTAAACCACACGATGCTGTAGTGTCCCCACGCTCTCGTCGAGTATTTATCTTAAACTGTATTTAGTGGCATGGCTCTTTAGACGCATCTGAAAGTACCTCAGCCATCAACCGACATTTATTCGCCTACTCCGAGGAGGAAGGAGCGGTGCTCGTACGGCTGCAAGCCATCCACCTGTTTCCCGCTGGATGCTCGCTTCTGGCTGAAAGAGGGGCTTTCAGATGCTTCTTAACCTTATGTCTAAAATAGTATTTTGTATACTTTCTATGCCTAACCAAACAAGATAACAGCACCTCTTTACTACTGGGTTTATATAAGTTTGTCAATATAAATCACCAAAAAAATAAAGAATTTTTGGATTACTACATGATTTTGAAGTTTTTTCCTAAATCATATACCTATATCATAGGCTCATGCTAAATGCTATGACATTATAAACCTGATTATATTGTAAATGTCACATTTCACATATAGTATGTAACAACAAAACTTTCAAATAAACCTCACATATTCTCATATTAACTTTCATCCCCTATGCTCTCTTGTTATTTTGCACCCTTGAGCGTAAAATTTTTGCAAACACTGAATGTCGTATTTATTTATATCAAAATTAACAACCTAAAAAATAAGTTTCAAGCATCTATCCGTAAAAAATACGATATTTCCATACAAATTTCAAACACCGTTTTCGCGTTAAATAATAGCCTCTGTTCATTCCTAGTACTAGTATACTATCTTTGTACCAAATATAAATTGGTTCCGTAGTTTCGTGTAAAAAAAGGACAGACAGAGTTATTTTCACATTTATAATATTAATAAGCATTATAGTTTAAAAATTATTAAAATCAGATTTGCTGTCGTGTATACTTTCTGTTTGTCTAGACTGAAGGGATATTATAAACAAGACCAAGGCCACTTCCAGATACACCATGTTGAATTAGAAAATACAATTTTGGAAGAATCAAATCTTTATATATATAATTCTTCTGTGAGTGTGTATGTCACTGAACTTCTCTCAAACGACTGGACCGATTTTGATGAAATTTTTTGTATGTGTTCAGGGGATCTGGGAATGGTTTAGATTCACAATTTTCATCAAATATTAACTTCATATTAATTTATTCAAATTAAAGATGTGTAGACAGGACATCTGTCGGGTCCGCTAGTATATATATATATATATCATGAAATGTTCATACTTGAAATTCTAACAATAACCAAATTGTTTGAAGTGCAACAGAAAAGCACTAATTACTAAAATTTTTATAAACCAACATGAGCTTGTTTACTTTTGTTTACAAAAGAATTATTGGTCTTTGTTAACATTAGTGGCATCAGCGACCTCTTCTGCAGCAGGGTTGCCTCTGAAGTTAGGGAACTGTTCCCACGGGGCACTCAGCTCAAAGCGTCTAAATTCTTGTGCCAGCTCTAATGGCTCTACCACCACACGTTTCTGTTCATCATCATAACGAACTTCAACATAACCACTGAGGGGAAAGTCTTTTCTAAATGGATGACCCTCAAATCCATAGTCGGTCAAAATTCTTCTCAAGTCGGGGTGATTGGCAAAGAAGACACCATACATGTCCCATATTTCTCTTTCATACCAATTGGCAGCTTTAAAGACGTCGCACGCTGAGTCCACCGGCGTCAATTCGTCCGTGTATGTCTTAACGCGGATTCTAGCGTTGTAGCGTAGAGACAACAAGTTGTATATTATTTCAAATCTGTTGGGACGACTGGGCACATCCATGCCGGCAATGTCGGCTAGACTAGCGAACTGAGCGTTGTGATGGTCTTTCAAAAATTGTAGAATAGGAATAACGCCTTCTGAAGGGATAAGAATTTCCAATTCATTACCCGCAGTAAGTTGGACTTTTTGTACGTATTTGGGTAAACATTCTGCAACATACTTGCCAAACTCTACAAGTTGAGATTTTTGTAAGGGGTCCACTTTGGCCACTGTTGGTCGAATCTCCACTTGCGGTGCTGCCTCATCAGTCTTCGTAGCTACACTCTGCATCGACGACACTGACGCATTTTTTAAAATTGCTCGTCCCAGCTGAGAGTTGGCGCTCATGGCGCGTTTTAAAAAGAAGGACATATTTAAGTTTTTCCTTACGTAATTCGTCTCGTTATAGTAATAGAAGCGAGAGCAAAACTCCACTCAATGTTTATACTGTCATCAGACAGACGCTTTTTTTTTAATTTTCCGACCTGGTAACGTAGACTTTTAGGTCAATCAGACGTCAATGTCAAGCATCAAAGACTTCTACATATCCCAGAATTTCGTTATTGCGGAGTTTAAAACTCTGTTATCAGTTATCCCCATCTAGTTTTAACCATAATGGGATAAATCTGAAACATTTTTTGTTCTTAAAAGTGTTCATGTTAATTTTCGAGTGACTTTGCAAAATAATATTCGGTAAGGAATAAGTAAAATGAGTTAGTCCGTCGATTATCTTGGGTGGCCACTGGTCTCTATGAATCAGTGTTTCCCAAACGTATTTTGTCTACTGCCCACTTTGAGAATAAATATTATTTGAGCGTCTCCATATTTTCACATATTTAAAAACCACTATAACTTCAAATTAAATTAATTAATTATTGTAACCTATATATGTATATTAACGGAGAATTCTAAACGAAACTTTTACTATAACCCGCAACATGAGACCTGCAGCGCCCACAAGGGGGCGTTATCACCCACTTTGGGAAAGGCTGCTATAAATGGGTAGGCGATTGCATGGAAATGACAGCTTTTGCTTTGTTCTGATTTGAACGTGTCTTGACCTTATATGACAGTTAATTGTATCTACCTACACGGTTGATCATTTAATGTTTAGGAAAGATAATTGAAAAGGAGTTTTGTGGGTCAATCCGTAAAATGGGCTGTATTTGTATGGTCTCCCCTAGTTAGGTACACACTCTTTGGTATTTGCACCCTGTATTTACTCTTTTTTTTACTCTTTGCCTGTATTTGGTCAACCAAATAAGATTTGACCAAAAGACCTATGTTACCAGGTCATAAAATTAAAAAAAAGTATTTGGTTTTGGTTTCTTTGCCTATTTCTATTTGATGAAATAAATGTTTTTGTTCTCCAGATTCAAGATTAATGTGTTCTAGTTTGTCTTCAATCAGCTTATTCATTACACTTGTTAAATCTGTGAAATTGATAAATAGAGTATTTACAATCTCATTATATAAGGTCTTATAATGGTTATATCATTTACTTGGTTATTGTTTATAATTCAATTTACAAAAACTGTAACTGAAGATTTCTTAAAGTTAAATTTTTCTATGAAATAAGTTATACGTATATGAAAAATAGAACATGATAAGTTATTTCAGATAGTGTTTAAAATTAAGACAGTTGAGGTAATATTCCTGTCTTAGATTTCCTAATTTCTGAAATTAGTAGAAAAAGTTGAGATCTTTTAATAGTGTACATATGCAAATTTTAGAAGCACTTGTAAAATTTTGTAGAACACAATCGCTCATAGTCACACGAACATGACTTGTGCACACTACCAAAGAACAAAATGTTAATAAGACTTCATAGCAGGCTTTTGCAGGTTTACTTGAAAATTGCTTGATTAAATGCAATTGACAAATGATGTTACCAATAAATTTAATACGTAATATGAACAATATGCGAGAAAAAACATTGTGATTTCTGATGTACAATGTTTTATATGTACCCACTTGCACTACCTATTATTTGTAATATGTACTGAAATGATCAATCACTACATAGTTTATTATAATGACTGGAGTAGATTTTAAAGTAACTTCAACAATAAAACTGCTAATAGTTGCTGTATAGTATTATGTATTTTATTATCAATATTAATTTTATTTTATCATTTCAAGTATACAATATCATGATGGAGGATGAGATAAAAGAGTTGAAATCAGTATTGCGATCATTAGTGGTGTCCAGTCCAACACAGGTGGATGTGCGTACTCTTATGAGAGACTACCGCAGCATGGTGGGCAGGGCGGTACCAATTACACAGCTAGGCTACAAAGAGCCCGTGCATTTCCTAAGGGAAAGATGTAGCGATTGTTTCCTGGTGAGCACTTATTAAAGGCCATTTTAATATTTCTTAAAAGAGTAATATTACTTGATATAATTGCTTATTGTACAGTTTCATGGCGACCCACGCAACCCCGTGCTGACCCTCATTGTGCCCGACACATTGAAGCATATTGATAAGTTTGTACAAAAGCAAAAGGTGTCCAATACAATAAAGCAGTAAGTATTATTTTTCTTTACAAGGTGCCAAACAAGCAAGGAAGTGACTGCTGCCCTGTTGGATGTCTATACATCCACCAAGAGATTCACACAGAGAAAATTACTCCTACCTATGCATCCCTTCCGTCAATTCCCCTTCCCCTTTCTTTCCTTTCCTTTTAGTAAAATAGTGGAAGGGAAGAGAGGATCAAAATTAGGCTTCCAGAGTGCACACTGATCAGACGGAGTTTGGAATGACTGGTCTGTGTGGTTGAGGTAGTTGTGACATAGATGTTGCTGGACTCTACCACTGTCAGAGTTCTCCAGACTGTACTCCCATGTTCAATGACTGAAATTAATACTTTTTCTCACACCATATTAAAGTGTTATTTATTCAATACCAACTTGTTATTTCAGTAAAGGAAAAAGAAGGAGTGTCGCCGCACCCTCGCTACCGCCTTTAAATAATCTTATTTCTAACACATTTTTGGCAAAAGAAAATGAAAGGCCAGGAATGGCCGCAACACAACAAGAGGACAGAGATACTGTGATACACGACCTAGCAGTAGAAAGTCATAGTAGTCAGGGCACAGAAAGTAATCCAGTTTATAATGGTACATCACACAGTGCAATGGAAAAGTTCATGAAGAAGCGCATGCCCCTGTGCACCAGCGTCGCCTCCCTCGGGGACGCAGACTCCGGCCTCCACACGCTCTCCAGTCAGTGCTGCTGCTCTCAGCATTATGTCTTGTTTCTTTAAATACCACTTATCTTATTTAATATTGCTCCTATAATTGATAACGATTGCACTCAAGAAAATACACAAAATGTGAATTTCGAACGATTCAGTAGAATACATTTTTGTTACCTATTTTTGTGTTATATTTTGTAGTTTGCTAAAAATAATTATGATCCATAATTTAAAAAAAATGAAAAAGCTTATATCGAGTGTAAATTGTTTTGACAGACAATATTTTATTGTATAGGTGGAAGCAGCACTAAGTGGACGCAATTTGAAGAATTGAAATGTGAAATTAAAAACATTCTTGAAGATCATCCCGAAGGAATTTGGTGCACGGATCTCGTGGCGCTGTACAGGTAGTGGCCTCCTCCCACCTCCTCCCATCTCCTCCCACCTACACCCCCATGTTACTAATGTGCGCTCCCCCCGCAGGCAGCGGCATGGGCGCGAGCTGCAATTGGCGCGCTTCGGCTTCACCAGCGTGCTCAGCCTGGCCTGCGCCCTCGCCGACACCGTGCGCGCCTGGCGGCCCCGCGGCGCCGCCGACTGGCGCCTGCAGCACCCCGCCGCCCCGGCCCCGGCTCCGGCCCCCGCCCCGGCCCCGGCCCCGGCCCCTGCACCAGCCCCCGCCCCCGGCCCCGGCCCCGGGCACATCGACCCCGATGACGCGCTACCCGGCGTCGACTATGTAACTAATTCTGCACTTATTATCATCATACGTTAAGTTGAAGGAAGGAGGATCGTTGGCATCGTGTGTAGTACACGCGCGCGCGCGCGGTATACACCCGACTTCAATACAAACAAAATCTGAACTGTAGACAAGTACAATTTACATTAAAGCTTACTTCGTTACTTTTATTTATTTATTTATTTATTTATTTATTTATTTACATGGAAAACTTACAGCTATAATAATCTTATTAACTATAGACTAGACAACTGAGAGCCAATGACAAGTCTTCACTTATAACAATATTATATCTATAATGAGCAAACAAACAAGTATCACAACTATTAAACTATAGTAATATATAACAATGTAGTTAAAAACTAAGTTATAGTAGATACAATAATATTAGTAGTAGCAGTTCACGTATATATTTTATTTGAAAAAGTCCAGTGCTAGGCACCTTCGTGCCGAGGATACACTCGTAGTGAATGGATCAAAATCATATTTGTTACAGATTTTGTTAAAATTTCCAATTGCGCGCACAATAAAACTGTTTTGTCTATAATTAGAAGAAGCTTTGGGCAACAGCAAAGGTGGTATGGAACGAATTGACTTATTATTTTACAATTCTCAAAGAATAACTAAAAAAAGTGAAAAAGTATAGTGGGAGGTAGCGGAAAGTAGCGGCAGGTAGTGGAGAGGTGGCGTCGTATGTCGGCAGGACCCCGACGTGTTCCCGGAGGACTGCGTGCACTTGATGGAGAGCATCCCGGCGGCGCCGCTGGCCGGCGTGGCGGCGGGCGCGCACCTCGAGGTGATCGTGGGCGAGGTGTACTCTCCCTCGCACTTCTGGCTCATCCGGCTCGGCGAGCAGCACAGCGTCGCCATGGAGGACATGATGGACGAGATGACGGAGTACTACGCGCGCGGGGCGGGGCGCGCCCGCCGGCTGGCGCGCGGGGCGGTGCGCGTGGGCCAGTACTGCAGCAGCTGCTACGAGGGCGACTGGCACCGCTCGCTCATCGTCAAGCTGGTGGACAGCGACACCGTCAAGGTTTTGCCCTCACACCGTTTTGTCGATATTAGAAATGAAAATAAAATGGTACCGGCGGTGACGTAGCGGGAGTGAGCGCAGGTGCGGCACGTGGACTACGGCACGGTGGAGCGGTGCGCCGCGACCGAGCTGCGGCCGCTGCTGCGCCGCTGGGCCGCGCTGCCGCAGCAAGGTCTGCGCGCGCGCCTCGCCGCAGTGCGCCCCCCCCACGCCGGCCGTCGCTGGCCGCGCGCCGCCGCCGCCTTCCTGTTGCGCGCCGTCACCCAGCGGCAGCTCGTCGCCCTCGTCTCCGCCCGCAGGGTGAGTGCTCGCTACACCCCCACCCCCACCTCCACCTCCACCTCCATATAACCGACCACCGCGCCTCACTTGCAGGATGATATTGTAGAGGTCCTGCTGATCGATACGTCGTCGGACGAGGACGTGTGCATCAACACGGAGATGGTGCGCGCGGGCTACGCCGACCCCCGCGGCGACTCCTGTCTGGGGGTGAGTGTCGCCTCGCATCGACCGCCCCGCCCGCCGCGCGCCGCCTCCTCCTCCACCTCCACCTCCACCTCCGACTCAGAGTCGGAGGAGGAGGCGGTGGACGTTCGCTCGCTCGCCACCATCATCGCGCACTTTGAGCGGCGCTCCGACGCCGACACCGACACCGACAGCGAGATATCCGCCTCCGCCAGCGAGGTGCGCGGCCCGCGACGCCTGCCCCCCTGGCCGCGCGACTTGCCCGCCGACGAGGAGGTGGAGGTGGAGGTGGAGGATGTCGCAAGCGTGGTGTCGCACACGTCCCTGCACCTGGCGCGCATCACGGCGCTGCACACCAAGCTGCAGCGCGCGCCCCCCGCGCCCCCCGCGCCCGCCTCGCTGCACCTGGCGCGCGTGACGGCGCTACACGCGCGGCGGACGGGGGCGAGGGGGCGGGGCCTCTTTTAGCCGCTTCATACAGATAAATATTATTAATGTTTGTGAGTGTGTCGCGCCGCTCCCCCCGCGCCGCTCCCCCCCGCCCCGCACCGCGCTGCACGCACACAATCTCCCCTTTTAAAAACTTTATAAGATTTAGTTTGTTGTTGTCGATGTTGAGAGTTAAGATGTATCGGTTGGGCGAACGCGTCGCTCCACTTGGTTGAACTCCCAACCGAACAACTTTCATATGCTTCAAGTTATCATTTTTGTAATGTTTGTTTGGGATCTCACATCACACGTTCCGATATTTTCTGATCACAATTGTCAAACGTAATGCAACTTGAATATATTTACTAAAATATTGAAGACTACACTTGCAGTTGTTTTTTTTTAATTAAAATGTCGTAAGCCCCTTCTTGTTTGCGCAGTACAATAGTGCGAGGTTATTGATGCATGACATAAATTATCTAGTGATTTGAATATTATGAATGGGTGGTGTGGTGTGATGCAGTGTGGTGCGGTGTGGTGTGGTGTGGTGCGGTGCGGTGTGGTGCGGTGTGGTGCGGTGTGATGTGGTGTAGTGCGGTGTGGTGCGGTGTGGTGTGGTGTGGTACGGTGTGGTGTGCGGCGCGCACCCGGCCCGCCACGCAGCTTATGTGTGTGTGTGTTTCGACTTCCTCCACCGTTTAAAGTGCACGAAGAATTATTTTAAAGACGTCGGGGTTATATACGTAGAATCACTAAGAGATCGATAGAAACATTTCTAAAGCCCTCGCAGGAATTATCAAAACGCTTTTTTTGCCGCTCGTCGAAAAAATTACCGGTTTTTCGATATATAACCTGCGACGTCTGAAAAGTCTGCCCTCGTGTGTTTACATGAGATTTGAGTGACTCGCTAACCGGGTGGATCGTTTCAGACGTCGGAGTGTTACCTGTGTCCGAGCTTCGAGGCCCTCGAGAGCGGCGACACGCCCACCTACGCCGAGATACAGTGCTACCTGCGCGACGGCATCGTGCTCGACTACGTGGAGGACTACCGCCGCCACGTGCCGCCCTGTCTGCCCGCGCCCGCGCACCCGCCCGCACCCGCACCCGCACCCGCACCCGCGCCCGCACCCG